TTTCTCTCTCTTTCCTCTCTCTCTCTCTCTCTCTCTCTCTCTCTCTCTCTCTCTTTCTGTCTCTCTCTCTCTCTCTGTCTGTGTGTCTGGGTGTGTGCCTGTATATGCGAGTGTTATGTGTCAATGAAATAGACATATCGTTTGCTAGTTTTGAAAAAGAGATTTAGAGTTTCTACGTAATATGCGATGGTGTCTACAAGCTGTAAGAAACCCCTTTTAATCGTGAGAAACTGCCGTCAATTCTGTTCACAGATGTTCAAAAACTATTGGTCATTATGAGATGAATTATCGTAGCTATTTTTATAGATTTTAGTATTAATATTGATAATAAGCAAATTTTTTATTTAAATTTTGTTGATAAATGGTTTTTTTAATTTATTTTAGCTACCTTTTATAGGAAGGAAGGGGCGAATGGCTTGGTCGCCGAGTTTAAGGGGTTTCTAAAAAAAAAAGTTGGAGGGACCTTTTAAATAAATTGACAACCTTTTTAATTTACTCGTCACAAAATTTTTGAGAAATTTGGGCTCTGGCTTGTTTTACACGTCTCAACATGGCTCTCAAATGCCGCCTGTATATCATCATTATGACTTTTTCATGTTTTCGTGAAAATTTGTTATGTCAGAAATAAATTTCTCAACACGTCTGAACTCGTCATTTCAAAGCTTAACTACCTACACAACTTTCAATATTACTTAACGATTTTAGCATGGACTCAATTGGTCTGTATGGTGTTATTGATTTTATTGCTATTGAATAGCTACAGTTGTGTTTATTGTGCTTCATTGCATGAAATTAATTTTAATACTGAACTATTAACCTTACTTTTTTATAATTAGTATTTATAATTAGTTATAATTAGTAAAAGGTCATTTCTCAGTGTGGCATTACGCTCTAAGTAGGTATGTTTGTGTATTTGTGTGTGTGTGAGTGTGTGCTTGTTTGTGTGTGTGTATTTGTGTGTGTGAGTGTGTAGGTTCTTATAATCACTGCTGGTGTGACCCGAAGATTTCAAAATTTGTTAAGTGTTGACTAATTGCAATTACAAATCTCTACACCTAGAATTCAAAATATGGATTTGTTATTAAACAAACTCATTCATTCATTCTTTCGTTAGTTCGTTCGTTCGTTAATTCCTTCATTCATTTATCCATTCATTCGTTCGTTTATTCATTCATTTAATCAATTATTCATTCATTCATTCATTCATTGTTAAATAGTTACCCCGTGGGAAAGCTTATTCTTAGTCAATGAAATTTTACAAACATGTCGTCGTCCGTTGTGTGCCGCTGTTGCAATGAATGAATGAATGAATGAATGAATGAATGAATGAATGAATGAATGAATGAATGAATGAATGAATGAATGAATGAATGAATGAATGAATGAATGAATGAATGAATGAATGAATGAATGAATGAATGAATGAATGAATGAATGAATGAATGAATGAATGAACGAATGAATGAACGATAAGAATCAGCAAGTTAATAAATAAACAAATTAGCAAGCAATAAGATGAAATCATAAAATTTGAACAAAACAAACCAACAACTGAAAATGCCACATTTCGTTTGCTTTCAAAGAATGGACAAATTGACAGACATGACATAATAAGAAAAGGTAAGACAGATTTATCACAAAGAATCTTAGCGTTGCATGCATGTGACTGTCGAGTTTATACAAATAATCTCATCTACCTATACAATTATCTTAACTCTGAGTATTTTAACATTTTAGTGAGTATATGCTGGTAAGTTAGTTTAAAGACCCCTTCAGTCTTCTTCTAAAGGGTACTTGGATCTGAGTGTTAGGGCCGCCCTATGTACGAATACTTCATTTAAAACCGTTCTAACTGTATCTAACTGACCGATGTTCTTCTGAAATATGTTGCTTCATTATGTTTTTTTGCTTTTTTCTTTCCATCTATCCTTCTTTCATTCTCTCTCTCTCTCTCTCTCTCTCTCTCTCTCTCTCTCTCTCTTTGCTTCGCTTTCAATCTTTTTCTCCTTCTTTTTTCATGATGTATCTTTCAACCAAAATATTTTTGCATTCGGTCATATGCGTTATTTCATTTCTTCATGTACGTTCAAGTGGACATCTGTCTTATTATTTTTCAAATGTGATTAAGTGTGTGTTTATAAGTGTGTATCTGTATGTGTTTGTTTTTACATGTCTGTGAATAACTGTCTGTATGTGTCAGTCTTGTATATGTTTGATTTTGTACGTCTGTGTATGTGTGAAGGTGTTTGTATATATGTGTTTATCTTTCTGCATGTGTGTCTTTGTGTTAGTCTTTATGTCTGTCTTTGTGTTTGTCTTTATGTCTGCATATATGTCTATATGTCTATCTGTATGTCTGTCTTTGTGTATGTCTGTGTGTACGTAAGCATACATGTGTGTAAGCATTTGCGTTAAATTTTACAAAAGTTCAACGTTAAAGGCAATTCAATCTTTAATTAAGTACTACACGCACACACACACGCACACACGCACACACACACACACTAGTCATGGCTCGTTTTGTCACAATTGATAGCTGATTATTAGTCAGTTCATCTGTGTGTGAGTGTATGTGTGTGTATGTGTGTGTGTGCGTATGTGTGTGTGTATGTGTGTGTGCGTGTGTGTGTGTGTATGTGTGTGTGTAGATATTTGTATCAGAGTGCGTTTCAGTGCATATATAATGTATTCGTATGTGAGTGTGTTACTTGTGTGTGTGGGTGTGAAAGTGTGTGTGTGTGTGTGTGTGTGTGTGTGTTCAAAAATTACTTATAAAATTATTGAACAGTGCATATAAAGATCTAAGAAGTAAAAATGTATTCACATCTGTTAATGGATGAGACCGTGTTTATTTAGGTTAAGTGTACACATATCTATCTACGCAAACACACACAAATACGCACACATCCACACAGCAGATACACGCACACCACAGCAGATACACGCACACCACATTTACATAATTTTCAATATTCTCGCATAAAAGCTCTGCTTGCAGAACTTGAAATTCGTGAATTGTTATACATACTTAGTCTAATGTTTGCATTTGATATAATATTAAACTACCCTGTTTATGATATATATGCTAGTTTGAGTCTGTCTGGTTTTTTTCCCTGTGAGTATTGGTGTATCTGTGTGTGTGTGTGCGTGTATATATATATATATATATATGTATATATGTATATATATATATATATATATATATATATATATATATATATATATATATGAATTTTAATGTAACATACGTGTTCGTATTTTGTGTTGTGTGTACGTGTTTACATGTTATTCTGTTCACTATCAGCTCGCAATATCAGCTTGCCTGACGAGCACATAATAATTTGATAATATAAATGCGAGAACGCACGCATGCAAATGTTTGACCACGCACATAATTACAAACAGACGTAAAAATTAACCGTGAAATTTAAATGCAAATCTGTATTGCACACACACACATACATACATGCATACACACACACATACATACACACACACACACATGCACACATACATACATACACGCACACATAGGTATACAATTTATGAATCACTAAACGCATTCAAACATCATACAACACTGACAACGCATATAAAATTGAGCAAGAACATTATTTGATTGACAACTAAGGAAGAATTGAATAAACAAAAATACTCAATCATCTCAGATTTGAAATGCCTCAAACAAAACAACAAACTGCATTCGTAGTAGATATGCATTAATATTATCGCTGTCATTGCGTGCGGATGATCAGAGCGTATTGTAATTCTATTATAAATGAACGCACGCACACACGCACACACATTTACACACACGCACACACATTTACACACACATACACATTTACGCATACACACGCATATACACAGTAAGTCACTAGTGTATTTTATGGTTTCAATGCATACTTAATCAGCAATTAATACAAACACATACTTATGTATGTATATGTGTATGTATGTGTGTATACGTTTGTATATTGTATATATATATATATATATATAAAAATATAAATATATATATATATATATATATATATATATGAATTCATGTTTAAATGTATTGTAAATTGAATAATAATATAATACTATTATATACATTATATATGTGTTTGCGTGTATAGCAGTTTAGTTTTAGTTGAATGAAATGTTATTGTTGTATGAAAATTTACATTGCTTGGAGGCTTTAAAACGTCTTCTAAATAAATTTTCATTTGGTGGTACTAATTATTCGGTCTGGATGATAATAAGATTGATTATTGATTATTAAATTTGATTAATTAATTAATTAATATTAAAATGAAATATAACGTTCTAATTGATTCTTAAAGGGTTTTATAAAATTATCAGTGGATAAAGTTAAATTTAACACACACAGTTAATAAAGTTATTTCTGAAAATTGCACAGAGCTAACTTGCAGAAAAGTTAAAATGACGAAGTGAGTGGCACTTGTATCTTTTTTAAACTTATTTTCAACTAATAGTATGTTAATAATATACAAATTGAATAATACTTAATTACATGCTCATGATTTTGCAATGAAATTAATTTAAATAATAGAATAACCACTATTAAATGTATTAAAAAATCAAATTTGTCAAGTTTTAAATATTACTAAAGAAATCATTTACCTACAAAAGGTTGAAATCATATTTTTTTTCAATAAATTCAGCGTGCTCCGGCGGACTACCTCCCACCAAAACCACCCCTCCAAACGGTCCTCCCTGTACGAACCCCACTCATACATCCCTGTAATGAGTCCCAATACCGACGATATGGTTTCAACCCTGAAACCATCCTATAACAACTTCAGGGATGGTGCGAATACCTTAAAATTTATTCGGCCAAGTGCCGATGATTCGAGTTCAAGGCAATCACTAAGAACAAGTTTTCAGTCGGCTTATCAATCGAATTTAAAATCGGATATTAAGTCGGTTAACCGATATTTTCAACATTCGCCACAGCAAAAAATGAATTGTGTGCAACAAAGTAACCATCAGACATCATGCGTATACTCAAGTCCAATAAAAAAAACACCGACAGTTATTCAACACCAGCAACAACATCATCATCAACAACACCTTTATCAACACCAAACACCGCAGCATCCAACTCAACAAGGTGTTCCACAAAACAACACGTCAAAATTTCAACGACTTATTCAGAGCAGATCTTCCTGTCGGTCAAAACCGGCTAAACCGAGTTCAAATGCAATCGTAAGCACGATCAAAAGTGCTGATGTGAACCTGCTGAACCAACTACTGCACTGCAGCGATAGTGCCAACAACACTGATGACGACAACGTTCCAGTTTTGTTCCTAACCTTAGAAAATAGTGCTAAACCTGACATGCTCAAGGTTTGTTCTCAAACATTCATCTTTACATGCGGGCATATTTTCAAAAACATTAATTCTTATTCAAACTCAATCAATTTTCAACAAATATTTGTATTTTATTAAAATGTATATATGATAATATATAATAATATATATTATAATAATATATAATATAATATAATAATATATAATAATATGTAATATATAATAATAATATTATACGTGAATTTTATACGGCTTGTTTGTATGTCTTCATTTCAATTCCACAAGTAAATTACTCGATGAAAGTATTTTTGTCACACCTCCAGGTGTTACTGGAACACGGAGCGGACCCCAACGCCCGCCACCCTATCATCCACAAAACATGCCTCCACGTGGCGGCCAAACGTGGCTACCATCTTTGCGCTCGCATACTCCTGGCAGCCGGAGCTGATTCAGAAGCCAAAGATTTCAGAGGCAACTCAGCCCTGATGTACGCTCTCAAATTTGGTCACCCCTCAGTTGCGAAGGTCATTCTACAAGGGTCAGCAAAATTAAATACGAGTTTTGAAAATTACGTCAACAACAAAGGCGAAACTTTGCTGCATGTGGCCATCGAAGGAGGTGACATGGAGTGCGTGAAGTTAGCGGTGATAGCAACACCAACTTGTATGAGAGAAAACGTTGATGGAAACGGCAGAACTCCTCTATTCGTAGCGTGCAAACTCAATCGCCCTTCATTGGCAGAATTGTTGATAGACTCTACTGAACACTTTTATAACATCGACGCCCAAGACAAAGAAACAGGGAAGACGGCTCTGCACTACGCAGTTGAAAATAAGAACATACTTCTTGTGGAACATTTGCTAAGACTCGGAGCCAATCCAAATGCGAGAAACGATAACTGGGAAACGCCGTTTCTGTCGGCGGTAAAACAAGGCCTGGATGCAGACATGCTGCTTCTCTTTGTCAATTTTCAGTGTGATGTTATGGCTTCAGACCGATATTTCAATACGGCTCTTCATTACGCCGCTTCTGAAGGCATATCCCACCTGATCTCATTCTTAGCCGAGTTGGGACTGAATCCTAACTGCAAAGGAGACTGCGGCTTGTCACCCCTTATGATAGCAGCCTTCAGGAATTACTTGGAATGCGCCGAAGAACTTTTAAAGTGTGGGGCAGATCCAGATTTGTTGGATAGAAACTCAGCCACTGCACTCGTTTACTCCATCCTTGGATCGTCAAACAGAAGTCCTGACAGCAAAAACAATGCAGAAGTATCTAATGTCAACCAACTGGAAACCATTAAATTACTATTGAGGTTGAGTTGGGAGAATATAAATTCAAAAAAACGTTTTGTTTAAAAATATTTTGTTTGCTAAAACACTGTTTTAGTTACAAATTTTTTGTATTCATTACAAATTATAATATTTGTAACAAATTAGAAAGTATTGTGGACAATTTTTAAAATTATTGAAACAGATACGGTGTGGACATGGACAAACCGACAAGCATACACAAAATTTGCACCTGCTACAAACTCGAGCTTGCTTATCCACTTTCCAAATTGGCTGAAAACCGACTGTACACTCCGCTCGAAATAGCATACCTGAAAGGAAACCAAGAAATTTTCAACCTACTCATCAGAGCCGGGTGCGAGCTGCACAGTTTCAAACTGGAATTCATCGAGAATGAGATGTACGACCAGGATCGCAACTTGGAGCATCGCACCTTTCACAACATGGTCAAGACTTTGAGAGAGAAGCGGTTCACCGTCAAAACGCTGGTAGAAATATCGAGGAAAGCCGCTCTGTCACATTGTAAGAAAAATCTAAAAAAAGAGATTATACATTTCAATGCGTACGATAAATTTTATAACAAGAGATTGATCTATTTGTTGAATTATAACGACTTGAACGAAACACAAATGCCACAACCAAATCAATCAAAAATTCCCACTCTGACGAATAATCTTTCAAGCAATTCTCTGGTCAGCATGTCTAACACATTTAGGAAGACAAACGACCAAGACAGGTACTACCCGAAAAAACAACCCCAGTATTCAAACAGTAGACAGAGTTTAGTATTTAAAAAAGTTGAAACGAGTACAAAACTTTCACCAGGTGACAGTGGTAACAGCAGCACTCAAAACTCAAAATCTCCATCTCCAAGTGGAAGCAATCCCAAAATTTCAAATCATTCCAGCTGTCGAAATGTTGAGGATGAAGATGATTACTTATTCAAAAGATCAAATTCCTTCAAAAATTCTCAAAACATTTCAAAAGTATCTTTAAGTCATCCAAACCCATCACCGCTCGGAGCAAACTCTCGATTATACTCTTCAATGAGGATTAACAGAGTTAAAAGTTCTCCAGTCGAAAACAAAACAGCAGCTGGAAAGTCGCCTGCACCGGCTACTCGCTTGAATTCCATTCCAGAGCAATCGGGAAGAACAAAAAGTAAACTGATTAAAACGTTCAGTAGTCCTGAAAAACCGAAAAAAAAAGAACCTGTCATGCAGAACTTTTTATTACGATAGAGTCTTCCGTCACAAATCAAATCAATCAATCAATCAATCAATCAATCAATCAATCAATCAATCAATCAATCAATCAATCAATCAATCAATCAATCAATCAATCAATCAATCAATCAATCAATCAATCAATCAATCAATCAATCAATCAATCAATCAATCAATCAATCAATCAATCAATCAATCAATCAATCAATCAATCAATCAATCAATCAATCAATCAATCAATCAATTAAACAGTGTGTATTACATTCAATCATTCATTCACATCAATCATTCACATTCACGTCAACCAATCTAATAAATTTTGATTATAGATGATGATTTCACCGCCTTAGCCAAACAATCATTGATTGCGTTAAGATGAGTGTGCTTTAATTGAAAGTGTTCCAGAGTGATGATAATTTGTAAATATTTTACTTTGTTAGTTTTCAAAACCAATCGCATTTAAAAGTATTTGAACATGATTGTTCAATTAATGAATTTCTCCGTTACATTCATTTAATGATATTATATTCATTGTATATCGTATATATTATTACATTTTGTACAGATTAAAAAGATTTACTGTTATCACAAAATTAAATTTTGATTGTTTTATTTAATTGATTGATCAATTAATTACAAACTAATTATGAATTTCTACATTTCAATTCAAATCAAATTAATAAAAAAAATTTATAAAAAATAATTCCGAATATAACGCGAATGTCTGAAACGTGAGACTAAAGAAGCAGAACTTGAATCAATAAATGCAGTCACTCACAACACACTACTGGATCTGAGCTTTGCTTATATGTACACATCATTAGACACTTATACATACATATGTACAACTATATATGTGTACACACATCTACATGTATATGTCTACAAAATGATTATATTTGTATACAGATGTGTGAAGAAATGTAGTATGTATTTATGTGTGTGTATGTGTTGTGTATGTTCAGCGTGTGTGTATGTATATATTGATGTATGTGATGTATGTACGTACGTATGGAAGACTGGCAGATGTATGTACATATAAGGCATTCTTTGCATTGATTTCAGCCAACAGCGCTGGAGAGGTCTTAAAATAACATATGTCGAGACTATTTCGCTTCATTTAAAACTTTGAATCGTGAAAACAAAATTTTTTAATTTGCCCGATTTTGATGTTAATAAAAAAATTATCCATCGGCTGGTATTTTTTTCAGCTTCTGAGGTGATATAGTTGTGTATGGTAACGAGTGAGTAAGTTGAGCTGTATGCGTGTGTGGTTCTATTTTGATGTGTTGGGGATGATTTGCATTTGATTCATCTGTACCTAAGTATAGTTGCAAATGTACAGGAGAATAATCAAACACTATATGCAATAGCATCTATACAATGTTGTACATCTATAAAATGTGCAGTCATGTACAACTGGTTAAAATTTAATAACTACGTGTAACGTCGGATAAACTTGATAATGATAAATATGTTTTTTTTGGTTTAAAAAATAAAAAAACTTCTTGATCACATGACCATGTTCATCGAAGAGACCTACAGAGATGAGCACTTGCTGGGTAAGAAGCAACGAATATTACTCGAGTTATCGACGGTTCTGTACTTTTTTGCGAAGAATGCAGCCGTGCCGCTGTCTCAGGAAATTATTTACCACTTCGTCGCAAGGAAACATAACATGACCATGGATTCTATTGATGAGTTTACCCGGTGGGCTTCCATTTTTCATTATTTTGAAAATCATTTCGTACACTATATTTTATAAAATTTAAATTTTATGTTATATTTAAACTAAAATGATTTAATTATTTAAATAATTGTATTGTATAAACTTAATTTACTTTGTTTCGAAAATTATGAAAATTAAACTAAGTTTAATAAAACAATAATCAACACTTCACGCAGAAAACTGCACCAAGAATATCTACCTGAAAGAAACAGTACACATCCAACTAACGACTTAACGTTTTCAGAAACCCGTCGAAAAATTGACGTAATAAACGAGGAAAGTAGCATCATGGCTTTCTATCTGACGATAGCTGAGTTGTTGCCAACGACAATGTTCATCTTACTGTTCGGTTTCTACAGCGATTTCACAGGAAATCGTCGCTTCATGATGTACCTTCCATGTCTTGGAACTGCGGTATACACTCTTGGCTTCTTATTCCCGTTCTACTTATTTGACGGCAACATGGGGAGGATAGGGACAAAAGTCATTCTCATTACGACTAGCATTGTATCCGGCATGTCTGGAAATATCAGTGGCTACCTATGCGGCAACGCTAGCTACATTTCGGATACTGACTCTGTTAAGAGGAGGACTCTGCGCCTAGCCATTGTCGAATTCTCAATCGGAATTACTTTTGCACTAACGAGTTTATTGAATGGATTTTGGATCAACAAGTTTGGAAGTTTAGACCAACCGTTGTGGTTCATTTTCATTTGTTCACTTGCTCCCTTTGTTATTCTCTTCTTTTTCGTCCAGGAGCCGAACGGATCTCTAACTTCCGATCTAGACGATTATCATCCAAATTTGACTCTGAAAGAAACAATTAAAAAGATTTTTAATTTTAGGCACATTTTTCACTTAAGAAGTTTAGAACAAAAAAAAATGTGGCTGATGTTTGTCGGGTTCATCGTGTACAGTTTTGCGCAGCAGGGCCAAGAAAGAGTTTTCGTACTCTACCTGAAAGGAAACCCATTCCTTTGGGATTCAATACAAATTGGATTATTTTTATTCACACTATACGGATTATCAGGAATTTCGTCATGGCCCGGAGTTCCGTTGTTGCAGAAATGTATTGGAGATGTGTCGATTTTCTTTCTAGCTATCGCGTCTAAATTTCTTGGATCGCTCCTGCTGGGTCTGTCAACCAACAGTGGAGAAGTATACGGAGGTTAGTTAGTTCTGTTTTACGAACGTCGCAATTGTTAGTTCATAATTAAACACCTATTTCATTTAATAAACACTTTTTTTTCAATTTGCACTTTCATAATTATGAGTTATTAGATTGTAATTTTCCATAATTCAGCTGCTGTCGTCCAGCTGTTTCATTTGCTTCCATACGCCGTCGGTCGTTCGCTCATATCTCAGCTAGTTGGCCACGAAGAGCAGGGTTTCTATTTGCTGATTTTCAACAATTACATTCAATAAATTTATTTCTGATTTCAGCTAAAAATAACATTTCCAATTTAAAATTAAATAACATAAATTATAACCTTTCTTCTAACAATGTAAGTGAAATTTTAAATACAAACTATCTTTCTGTTGGTGTCAGGTTCAGTGTATGCCGTGTTGCACAGCGTTCTGGCAGTAGTAATGTTCCTGGGACCATTATGCCACACCTATCTCTACACTCTAACCATGTCATCAATGCCTGGAATGGTCTTCATCATTTCCGGAGTATTCCTAGCCATTCCTTTCACTACTACGGCGTAAGTTTTTAAAAACTGCTTTTTTATTACAAGAGTCGTGAATAGAATATTTTCGAGTTAATCAATAGTTATTCAAATGGCTAAATGTACATACGTATTAACAACATTTTTTTGAAACATTTTTTTCAATATTCAGTTACAAATTTGAACAAAAACACAGATGGGCTTACTTTTTGGATCCGTGGACAAAATCCTTAAAATCAGATGGATATTCGAACATAGACGACCTTCCTGTATCGACGACACCAGCGTCAATGGCGACAGCTGCAGCAGCAGAAGCTACTTCATCTACAGAATCCATCATCACAAACGACAGACAAGGGAAACAAACAAGTCCAAGCAGTAGTACCCGACTGACTGGCCTTGTTAACAAGGGAGCTAATGACGATTAGAAAATGAAGAAACAAAATAACACATTGAAAATAAAATAATTAAATAAATGTTTTCAAATGGTAATTATGACAAAGTTGTACAATAGATGCGTCTTAATTTGAAGCTTGCATATTCTGTTTGCATGTCAGCTTGTATTGTGCGTGTGTTTGTGTCGTGATTTGTGTAACAGTAGATGTGTCAAAGATATTGATTCCTATTCTAGGAACACACCAAACGAACCACACACACACACACACACACACACACACACACAAACAAACAACACACAAACACGTGTGCGAAGGTATATGCGTGGCATAATTATTCATCAAAAGAATCGATCTATAGCTAAACAAAAAATACGTTTCTTACACAAAACGCGAGTCTAATATCTGCATATATATAAGTTTTTTTGGTTATATACATCTGGGCACGTTTCTTTTTCAAAACAGAAGGTTGAAATATTGCGCTTCAATAATTTTTCTGCTTACCTGCATTTTCTGATGTTAACTTTTAATAACGCATTATACGTTTTTGGCTGATTTCTTAAAGTTTTATCTGTTAGTGATGTCACAATGCATACGGCTTGAGAATTAATGTCGAAAAGTTATCTAATGTTGAACTTGTAGGGGCCAATTTAAGGATAGGTGAATCCGTGATATCACCCCTCTCAAATATTGTGTTAGAATGTGAAAACATTTTCCAATTAGTTACATTATTTTAGTAGCAGATGAATTTCACTTAAATACAGAAATATCTCCGAAAATTTTGGACAGACGAAATAACCGGAGCACTTTATAAAATCAGCGTACGTACAATACATATTTGCATGGCTAATTTGTTCCTATTTGCGAGAAACATCTATTACATATCTATCTCACTGGCCAAATAATTGACAAAGTATTATATATTGTCGTGAATATATACGTGAATATATATATTTATATCCGTGTATATTGTTATAAATTTTGCTGTTTGCTTCGTTTATTAGTTTCAATTTTCAATCAATTATGTATTAAATTAAGGAAATAAGCTTGAATTTATATGATATACTGATATTTAATCAATACGTATTGTGTATATAAATTTTGAGTAATTTTATTAAAATTATACTTTAAGAATAAAAGACATGTTAAGCCTCTGATGTTTGTGGACTATGTATGGTTAACTCTTGTTGTTGTAACCATTCAATTTAGTGTCTAAATTATTTAAATGATCAGTTACTTGATTTCTGAGATAATGTTTTAATAATGAAATGAAGATGAAATTACTGATGTGTAAACTGTTTATAATTTGAAAATAAATTTTTAATACAGTATACAAACGATGAATTGTTTCTAATTAATGAACGCATATAATAGAACCCATATAATTATATTGAACTGAAAATTCTTCAAACTGAAAGCAACACATCAAATTGACATTTCAACGCTCTGAAATATTTGAAAATCGATTGCTATTGAGTTGAAATGAATTCGTTTGCATTCTAACAAAGCTGTTACACACGCATTCAAATTTTTCAATATTGAAACGTGCGTAATAATACCGATTATACCCTGAACAAGACTAGGTTATATTCATTTTAAAGATTTTTTTGAAGAATTACATTTGATTTCAAACTTTATAACTGCTAACTTATTAAATTTTCTAAGCTTATTGAAGAGTTTTTAATAAAATAATATTTCATAATCGTGAATAAACAAGTAAAAATTTATGATTGGCGAGTTAGCTCAGACGGTTCTTCTTTCTTTTCCTCCTCCTCCTCCTCCACAAAACTCGATCTTTAACACTTTGTAGAAGTTAAAATGTTGTGATATTCTACAAGTGACACAAGGACTTCACGAATGTTATTTGTAGTTGGCCGCGATCTCTTTTCTCTGCAATTTTTCCAGTAGTTGTTAGATTTTCCAACCTTTCGAAAAAACTTTAACTGCTCGATTATCTATAGTATAATTTTTTTTTCATGACCGGTCTGTTTTAATACAGGTACAAGAGGTCCAATTAATTTTCATAACTCTTCTCAAAAACCACATCTCAGCAGCGTTAATCTTTTTCCATTTCTTTAGAAATTGTCCAGGACTCGGAGCCGTAAGTTATCACAGGAAAAATGTAACACCCTAACAGTTTAGATAGCGTTTCTTGTGCCACAATCATCTACAAAACCACATTGGACATTTAAAATTTCAGATCTGATTTTGCTTCGTACTCTCATCATCAGAATTTTCAAGAGAAATTTTTTTAGATGACTCATCAAACTGATTGTTCGATGTTATTCATAATGCGTTGCATTAGGTTTTTAGGCAGTGCAATAAATGTTGACTTAGATAGATCTTCAGGAATTTCGCCGCTGTTATAAATTTCATATAAAATTTCTGTCACTTTTTCCATACTAAATTCATCAAGACATTTAATTTCTTCAGCAACTATCTCATCTGGACAGTACAGAAATCTCAAGAAATACGTGATGAGAGACAACAGACATGCCATTAATATGGTTGTAATTTGTTCCAGCTTGGATAGTATATGGATCAAATCCCTTCATTCATGTATATGTGTATAGTTTAAAAAAAACGTTCGACTAAATCCTAAATGTCTCGACGATTTTTATGGACTAAACTGTTTGAATTTTAAAACAAAGACATTAAAATTATGGTAAGCGTTATTTACATTATTATTGTGTACGGTTCTTTGTCAAAAAATAAACAAACGTTTCTAACTAATCTGTTTGTCATAAAGCTTCGAAGCAAATTCACGCACGTCGATTTTGTTTTGTCGCAGTTTTTTTTTAAGAAATTTTACTATTAAAATTTGCGATTTAAATTTTTTAATAATGGCTACGGCAGTTTATTTGGAACACTATTTAGATAGTAAGAATAGTTCTTTACAACGTATTTGTGTTACAATTTTTGTGGTTCATTTGGTTGGGAAGATTCAACCAACACAGCAAACAATTGTTACAATAATAATTTCAATAATAATGATCAAATAAGTCAATATTGATATTAAACTGAATGAAATCTTCCTTCTGAGACATCATTTTTCTATTATATTGTTATAATATATAATATGTATTTATTTTATTTTTATATTATAACAAAAATTTTAAATAAAATTATTATTCATTTCATTTTGAACTTTACTTAGTATAATAATTTTTATAATATCAATTCCGGTAGCTAACAACGATGTAACATTAGTTCAATTTAATTAACTAACCACACACTCAAATAAAACTAACCATTTATTTGTTTTTCCTATAAAAGGCCTTGAGTCCCTGCCTATGGAGTTATCTAGGAATTTCAACCTAATGCGAGATTTGGATTCAAAATCTCAAGGTAGGATGACATTTTTATTTTTATTTTATTTATTCTTGAATTAAATAAACAAATGAAATTAATTATAGTATAACTAATGAATAAATGATTCAAAAGTTAATTTGTAGCTAGAAGGTAGTAGACATGTAAATTTTTTTTGTATTTTTCATTCTTTGTAGAAAGATATTTAACATTCAAGATAGCAAATAATTATTAAGAAGCTAATGTTATTATTAATCTTTTTTTTATGAATTTAAATTTGATACCCCCACACCAGATTTACTAAAAGAAATTGACGAAATGGCCGACAGCTACCTGACAAACGTGAAAGACCTCTCAAACGATAAACGAAAAGAACAGCTCTCGAAGATTCAGACAATGTTTAGTAAGAGTAAGGAATTCGGGGACGACAAAGTTCAACTAGCCATGCAAACTTACGAGATGGTCAGTATTGATATTGCATTATTTTAACTATTCACAATCTTTGGTAATAATAATTATTATATTCATTATTGTAATATAGAAATAATTATTTCAATCATAATTATTGCTAGGTTGATAAGCATATTAGAAAGCTGGATGCTGACTTAGCTAGGTTCGAAGCCGAACTGAAAGAAAAGGCAGCTGATGTTAAAAAAGATGGTAAGACATTTTAAAAAACTAATTATTTGAAATTAATTATGATTAATTATTGTTATAATTATGCATAATTACGTTTAATTACGATTTTATTATTTTTTTAATTTATTTAATTCAACTATAAATATTTATCCTTAAAGTTGTTCAATGAATCATTAGATATTCCATCAGGTTTTTGATCATTTTCAACTCATTCCTTTATTCTTCTCATTCATTCATTTTCTCATTCAGTTACTCTCTCATTCATTCTTTTATTCACTCAATCACTCGGCTAATTTAAATTGATAGTGTTTCTTAATTTTAGCCACCATTTTTTTAAAATAAAGGTTATTTTTTTCAAAATTTTCTTTCAATAAATTAATAAATTATTTTTTAACCACCAAGGCTATGGAGGCACCAAAGATACAAAAAAGAAAAAGAAAGATACAAATAGTAAGGATAACACAGATGACGGGAAGAAGAAAAAACGGAAGTCTAATATGAATGGGTTAGTTGATTGGCTCGTTTGATTGATTTATTGATTTGCTTGATTGATTGGTTGGATGGTTGGTTTGAATGATTTGGTTGTGGCCAATTGGCTGGCTCGTTGATTAATTAGTTAATTGGTTGATCAATTGATTGACTGATTTGTTGATTGATTGGTAAGCTGTGTGATTGATTAATTGATTGATTGTATCTCCAAATTTTTATGATTAATTTAAAAAAGTGACGAAGACTTGCCACAAACAATATCCGGAGCCCTGAGCCCTCCAATCTCGCTGGCCCTGGGGCACGCATCAGATGTCCTCGACATGCCCGTAGACCCGAACGAACCGACCTACTGCCTCTGCCACCAAGTGTCTTATGGCGAGATGATTGGCTGTGATAACCCTGATGTTAGTCGACGCTTGTCGATATGTGTTGTTGTTGTTGGTGGTAGTGGTGGTGTTGCTTAATTTCAATCTCAATTTCATTTCAAAAGTTTAAAACTAATTTCCACTTTAATTTACTATTAAACATAACAAACAGTGTCCAATAGAATGGTTCCATTTTGTGTGTGTTGGGCTGACAGCAAAGCCTAAGGGGCGGTGGTACTGTCCCAGGTGCAGTGTCGATAAGAAGAAGAAAGTTTAACCGGACTTTCATTTTTATTTCTTTATATTATTTGTTCATATTATTATTTCTATTCTACACACACACGCGCACACACACGTACACTCACACACACACACACACGTCCATATATATATATTTTTGATATTAAATTGAGATCTATTTACATTACTTCAGATGAAATGTTCTTAAAAATATTGACAATCTTGACTAATTTCAGTTATTTTTAATATCATTATTTTTATTATCGCTAATAATAATAATATAATAATAATTATTATTATTATTATCATCTTCATTCAGTTTATTTAAACTATATATGGCCTTCGTGATACGTGTATTTTGTAATTAAATAACTGTTGATTTTAATATAGTTGTTATTTGTATTATTATTGTTATTATTATTATTATTTATTATTATTATTATGAGAATATATTATTTCATGTCATGTATGTGAGGTCGTTGACACATTTTTCACATAGTTAATTTTAAATGCCATCTAAAAGTTAAAAAATCGATGTATTGTCAATTATTTATTAACAAATAAATAAATTAATTAATTCGATAATTATGTCCAAAAAAGAGTTTTTCAATACATTAATAAATAAGTGAATATATATATATATATATATAATATTAATTATATAAATATAATTTATATATGTATGTTGATAATAGACCATATACGTATATATATATATATATATATATATATATATATATATATATATATATATATATATGGTCTATTATCAACATATATATTATATATATATATATATATACAACATTTGTTTCTCTGATATATTACATAATTTAGTCTACTGTTACACATATTTTTCAACCAGTAGGCTAAAGTTACTAGGCCAGGTAAATAATAATGACAATAATATCGCGATGATTGTAGCGTTTTATGCGTTTATAATTGAAGAAAAAATGGAAAATTAATGATAATAATGAATATAATATATTGATAATTCAGTCATTTCAAAAATATAAGATACACATACACACACAACTGCTCATACACACACACAACCACACATACATACACACACAACCACACACACCAAACACACACAACCACACATCACTAGATGTCGGTGAATTTTGAATTTTCATATTAAAGTTACATCATGATATAAAAAAACTAGGAACACTAATATCTATTCGTTGACGAACTTCGCAGCCGCTATTTTCACATCTCTCTCTTTTTCTCTCTCTCTCTCTCTATGTATATATATATATGTATATATAAAAAGAGAAATTATATTTTGCTATATATATATATATATATATAGAGAGAGAGAGAGAGAGAGAAATATTATGTTACATGATTGAAATTATGATGGCCAAAGTCCTTTAAATATTTATTAAATAGGTACAAATAATACTAATAACTCTAAAATTATATTACAAATTATTGTTGTTATAGAGTTATAATAATAATACCATATGATAAGATAGTATTATTATTAATAATACAAATAAAATGAACAATAATAACCATTTAATAAATTTATATTTGGGCTAAAACGACGGTAATAAAAAATACACCTAAATTTGATATCTATGGATGGCAGTTTTGTATTAATATGTACAGTCCCTGGAATGGTAGGGGTCGTTTGGCATGGCCCTTCGAGTTTATCGGGGCCTCAAAAACGGAGTTTGAAGACCGAGATAAAATAATGTGACGATAAAATTTGAGACATTTTAAAATTTGTGTGTGAATGTATATATATATATATATATATATATATATATATATATATATATATATATATAATATATAATAATTATTATAATAAAAATATATATATATATAATAATTAATATGATTTTATTATTATTATACTCGT